TCTTCTTGGATTACTGGGTTTTGCTAATGTATACGCATTGCGGGTTAATCTTAGCGTCGCTTTAGTTGTGATGGTAAATTCGACGTACTCAAATGGGAATGAAGAAACAAAAAGTCACGAATGTAGTAGTGCGGAAAGTTCGTCTTCACGCACGGTATATGTCCATAATTATTGTATTGTTAGTTACCCCTCACCTCACCCCCAGGGCCTGAGGGCCGTAGCTAGCAGCTTAATATTGGGGGGTGTATATTCGTAGATTCATCTCATGCCCGTGATTTCTTTTGTACGCTATTTATTACTGCTGTAGATCAACATGAATATATGAATATAGTTTATACCCCCCCAAAATTAATTCAGTGGCGTAGAATATTTTCTTACCAATCTAGATTCCCTACCATTACCATAGGTAGGTATTCTGGGGTGTAGGGGGGATAAAAATATTGCACCACCAATGAAAAGATCCCATTTCAAAGAGCTTGAAATTACATATATATAAAAGTTTTTCAAAATGCATGAAATAGTGAATAAGGCATTAAATCTTTAGAATAAAGATGGAACATTTAAGTGGGATCAAGATACTCAAGGTACCTGGTACCATAAATGTATTATATAATATGGTAATGTGAAGCTACAATTGATATAATAAACATTTTCTATAAACCTTTCCCCTTTTAGCTTTCAAGCGCACAATGTGTGACAGTAGTTGATTATCAAGGTCAGTTCAGGTTGTGATTTTGCTATGTTCAGAAGCGATTTAGTTTAACAAAGAAGCAAAAAGAATTGTCAAGGTTTTCTTATGAACAAAATCGCTTCTAACCAGAGCGATATTGCAGCTCAAAGTTGCTTGATAATCAACTACCGTCATCCATTGCACGCTTGAAAGCTAGAAGGCGAAAGGTCTATTGCGGCCAAAATCATCTCATTTAATTAATTCACACATATATGTACATGTGTTTGACAGGAATAATTTTAGGATCATTTTTCTATGGCTACATTTTCACTCAGTTACCTGGAGGTTGGATAGCCACAAAGTATGGTGCTAAACGAGTGTTTGGTTTTGGTGTATTGTGGACAAGTGTCTTGACACTTTTGACACCTGTAGCTGCAAGATTTAGCCTCTATGCCTTGATAGCACTTAGAATTCTTGAAGGACTGGGTGAAGTAAGTAAAAATAACATGTCAATTTTTTTAAAAATTTTATTGGTGGATGTGGCATTCCACAGTGACAATACCATTGCTGACCATACTTATATTGTATGACAATGCAAGATGTGACCTTATACTGTCACAAAATCTAGCAATGTTTTTATGCCATCACCAAGGGGGTAACATTCCCAGCAATGCATTCAATGTGGAGTTACTGGGCACCCCCATTGGAAAGAAGCAAACTGGTTCCTACCACCTACGCTGGTATGCTCTCATTTCATCTTTCTATGTTTTTTATGTCACTGTCTATGTCATGCCTTACAGAGTTCTGAATGTTTCAAAAAATGCATCTTTTTGTTTCTATGCAGGGAGTCAGATTGGAACAATTATAGCATTTCCCTTATCTGGATGGCTTTGTGCGAATGGTTTTGATGGTGGCTGGCCATCAGTATTCTATATATTTGGTAATTACAGAAACTTCCTAAAAACCAGCATGATTGTATCTTGATGCTTGGTTTTTAAAGCTGTATCCTCTGACTATGTGATTTGAAACCAACCAATAACAGAAGCACCAAATATGCTTGTTCTTCATATTTGTATTGTAGGAACATTTGGCTCTGTGTGGTTTCTCATTTGGATGTATTTTGCTCATGATACGCCAAGAGTTCATCCAACAATATCACCGGAAGAACTGGAGTATATCGAAACAACTGTTGGAGAAGAGCAAGACCATGTAACACCAAAAGATCAGGTATGAAGTTGGTAGTGATGTAAATCGATTGTATTTAAGCGAGATTTTCCTAAGACATAATGGCACCAAAAAAATCTTGCAGACATAATGTATTGAAAATGTGTTATCCTAAATGGCACTTTAACATGCCAAATGTGTTGCTGGATTGATCCTGTACTCATCTGCAGTTACCTGGATCGTTTTCATTGCCTAATTTATCTGGTTTTGCAGGGTTACAAAACGCCTTGGAAATCAATCATGACTTCTCTTCCAGTTTGGGCGATCATTGTTGCACATTTTACGAACAACTGGGGTTTCTACACCCTTCTTACAACCATGCCAACTTACTTTAAAGAAGTTCTTGGTGTCAATATTCGGGAGGTCAGAGTGTAATTTTACTTGTGCTAATCTAGTACAGTGTATTGCATTTCGCGGCTTATCTCTCTTGCTGAAACCCACCCCCGAAACGTAGGATTTAATTAAGGCTGTTTTCCACTGTCGCGTTTTTCATACGCACGTACACGCACATAAAAGTCTAAAAAAACTAAGTAAAAAATTCGAAAGAACTTAGTTTTCCGCGTAGTTTCGTATGGCATTTGTTGACAAAAATTTAAAAGCATTTAAAAAAAAACGCGATAATTGAAAGCAGCCCTGAAGCCGGTTTTCCACCAGCGATAATTTTCGCGCGAAGCGACATTTTACTTTTGTTTCAAGCTCTCAACTGCAACCATCTGGAACAAATTGCTCAAATACAAAGGAATAAAGTCGCTTCGCGCGAAGAATATCGCTTGTGGAAAACCGGCTTTATGCAGCATGCTACCATGCCTGGATTTTAAGGCGGCGTGGGGTGGCGCATACATCTTCTGGAATTGTTTTGCACCTCCTCTGCAATATTCACGCCTCCTCCAAAAGTAATCAGAGGTTGACGGTTGGCAAAATTACCGAGTCACTAAATGTTCTTGCAATCAAATTTCCCTCATTTTTTAATTAAAACCTGGCCCTTGTTTGCTACATCGGTGTGCCGTACACTGTGCGTCACAAATATAATGACCGCTTTTTTCTTCAGAACGGTCTTATTTCTGCTATTCCGTATATCTGTAACTTCTTTGCCATTGTAATTGCTGGACAAATTTCGGATTATGCTCGCTGCAAGAGACTTTATTCAACTGAAGTAGTTCGAAAAATTGCCAACTCGACAGGTAAATATAAATCTTGTGATAGAGTGACGTTTTAGAAAACAGTTTATACAGTATATTGCTTATAATTTGTTTGAGAAATTATACGGTATAGTTATAGTGATTGACTTGAACGTCACCTGTGGCTGTGTTGGGTAGGTGAGATATTAAAGATAGCCATCATTTTTAATCCCAAATCGTCTGAGATTTACTTTGGAAACTCTGTCATTCATTCTTGTATAGGCTTCATTTTGGCGGCAAGCTCGTTGATCGGCGCTAGTTTCGTTAGATGTCATCAGACGGCTTTGGCTGTGTTTCTTTTATCTCTTTCATTGATTGGTAGTGGAATTTCTCAATCTGGACATGCCATTAATCACTTAGATATCGGTGCTAGATATGCTGGTGTACTCCTGGCAATAACAAACACAGTAGCAACAATACCAGGAATCGTTTCACCCTATTTAGTTGGTATATTGACTAACAATAAGGTAAATGTAGGTAGACTGTATTTACTGAATTTCACTATATTCACTCGAAAGGGTTAGTTACATAAAGACGTACATATATGTAGTTGAAATATGCATGGCAATAATTTCATGCCCAGAATCCACGAATTTATTCCTTAATCGATTTCGTCAGGGTTAGTAGTCGGATAAGGTTAGTAGTCGGTTGGGCGAGGTATATATTCGAAAATTCTGGACATAGAATTACCAAATAGGGTTTTTGCAGCCTAAAATGAGGAAGGTGCAAAAGGACAAAGGGAGGAAAACAGTGCCAAAATTTCTCTGCCAGACCCGTCAGTGTGAGTCGCGGACGACCTCAACTATCTTTCATTTCATCTTCTCTTAATTCTTACAGCCCACGCGTCATCAATGGCAGACTGTGTTCTACATTGCCGCTTTTGTCTACGCTTTCGGATTGTTTTTCTTTCTCTTTTTTGGAAGTGGAACAGAACAGAAATGGAACAGACCTGAGCATGAGCATCCTGGTTGGAAAATTAACGAGAATGAATCTTGTGAGAATCCTAGTTGTAAATTATTAGTTGATGGAACAGAAAATCATCAAAAATGCAGCCATTGAATCTTCATACTTTTTAAAAATTGTAATTAAACACTTCAATTTTTAGAGTGAAGTGACAGTAAACAAAAAAATTTCAACATCTTTATATTGTATAATATAAAGAAAATGCGCTGTTTGCTATTATTTTACAATATTCATTTATTATTATTAATTGTTTTTAACTAAATCAAATGGCAACAAGGAATGCCTCTTAGTAATGCTTTTTCTATTAAATTCGTGTAGTTATGTACGTTTGGAATAAAAAAAATGTATATATAATTTTATGAAACTTTAATATACTATAATTCGAAATTTTTGGTGTTTTTCCACTTATTCTCTGGCTATTTTGGTGTATATATAGTACCCCACACTAGATAAGTGGTAAAGGAGATATTCATGATTTCATGTATAATCTTTTTTAAAATTACGTGGATTCTACAGTGGCGTAGCCAGCCCGACAATTTAGTCATGCTATGCTAATATTTTGGTGTTCATTGACTGTGAAAACAATGAATTTCTAAAGAAATAAAATAATGATAATAACATAAAATTTGCATAGCATGACTAAATCGTCAGGCTGGCTACGCCACTGGGATTCTAGGCTCTCTTTGACAGTTGATAGAAGCGACGTACCGATGAAATCGTCGCCTTTGAAGATTTTTGTGCGCAAACTCTTCTTTTGGCAAAAATGGTTCCCATAACAATTCTTAACGAAATGCCTATGAATTATCGAAAAACCACGTGTCCACGTCGAAACGACACCAGAGATGTTGTAAGACGATGCGCAGAAATGTTTGTTCTGAAGCATATGAAGATGTGCATATCAATTATCCTTAAAGTGCCAGCGATTATTTTGGTCAGCGCAGGCAAATTTCCCAGCTGTTGGACATTATATATTCAGTCAATTTATCTAGATTATATGCTTTGCAAGCTTAGCTACAAGTTTTCGCTAAATGCAGACTGTAATAGCGCGTACATTACAACATCAGTTTCGATGTTTGTATAACAACACACGGCGTTGCTTGGCGCTGTCTGTTTCCGAAAATACAGCACAAAATGTCTACAAAAATGAAGACGAATGTTTGTCAATCAAGTGGAACGATGGCAGTATTGACAAATATCCATATATTTATCTGCGTGAGAATTGCCGTTGTCCAGTATGTTATAAAGATGAAAGAAAATCGCGTACGATGTTTTCCCCAAAAGTCGTTGATCTCGATATTACAGCAGAGTATGCAAACTGGAATGCTGAACAAAATCTGCTTGAAGTGAAATGGGAGGATGGTCATACCAGCAATTATTCATCTGACTGGTTAAAATATTTGAGGTATGTTATCAGTGTGAGTGATAAAACAAGTGTGCAGAATTACACACCAAGGCGATGTGGAAATGGCGAAGACGACGTAAAATGGCCAATGATGCCATTTATGGACGTCTCACTGACACACAACTTTTTGATTGACGATCCCGTCCTAGACTAAATAATATTTGTCTCTCCGGCCCTCCGCTGTGGTGTGTAGTTCGAGCACACCCACTATCCTCTCTAAATATTAATCGCGCCTTGCCCTTGGTAATAGTATTATTTTTATCAATAATAATTGTAGTATATAATAAATAGAATATGGAACTAATTTTGCATTTCTATAGTGGCAATTGCAGATGATATACTTTCTTCGCAGTGGATTATATTAAACGCGCGATAAAATAGCCTTAAACGTTTATCTATGGTTTACCCGTTTACAGTTACAACAAAGTATTAGGTTATAACTTATGGTAATAATTGATAAACCTCATTACCCTTCATTATATATCATCTCGAATTGCAAATTACAAAGACCCTGTGGACTTATTGTAGTTATTTAAAATTCAAGAAGCTGTTGTCTGTGCATCTGTTGATTTAGCGTAGTGCTCATGAATACAAATTAACACAATAGGATAATTTCTAGTGTCACTTTTTTCGGGGACTACACTGTATGTCAAGCCTAGCGAGTTATCGATGTTAAAGGAATTGATGCGAGGAATTGATGTTGTAATGATAATTTCAAGTGTAAATGCATGCAATAGAATATTAATATTATTGTTGTGTAAAAATCAGACCGAGGGCAAATAGCATTTCAACGTTAAGGTCGACACAGACCGGACTTTTCAGTTTTTAGAAGCACATAGATTGATTTCTGGAAGCAAAATTTGGAATCTATGGACGCCAGAGCAGTCAAAATGTATTATTGTTAAGAAATCTACGAGAATATTATGATAGTTTAAAATTTATTTCCTTTTGGAAAATCAAAAACTTTGGAAAATCAAAACCTTCAAAATCAAAATCGCGCCGCGTTGCCAAATCACGTCCGGTCTGTGTGGGCCTTTAAGCTTGAACACGTTCAACGTTTATAGTGATAAAGTCATAAAATTTAAACCGTATTTGTATAACAGAAAGAATTATATATCGAAACCGAGAGCTTACTTTTAATATTAATAAATGTAAAGGTCGACACAGACCGGATGCGATAATTTCGTTAACGCGACGCGAATTTTCCATTTTCAAATGGGTACCAGACTAGTCAATATGCCCTGTCATTCAGTAATTATCAAGAATATCACAACACTTTCAAAATTAGCAAAACTATAGCAAATTTCAAAATTTTCAAAACTGAAAACGTAATAATCGCGTCGCGTGGGCAAATCGCGTCCTGTGTCTGTTCTGTTGGCCTTAAGTCAAGAAACCGATCTACCGAAACTTGCACTTACATAAACATCAGTCTGGAAAAAAGGATCCCCACATAGGCGCGTAATCCGGTTTTCCTTTGTCAGGACTTGCGCATTATCAAAAACTGTGAATCTAATTGTGTTTACCGGAATTTGGCATAAATACACCGGTAACACAGCTGTTATACTTGGCTATTTTTATTGCATTCTGCAATTTTTTTATCGGCAGGTATCGCCCACTTGTTGAAGAGCAGTCACCTAGTTTGATAAAGAAAGGCATTCAGTTATGGGGTGAAGAAATGTCTGAAAAGAGCAACCTACCTGTATTTCAGTTCGATGAGTTGATGGCGGATGATGAAGTGCTTTACAAGTGGATGGTTGCCATAGCTACTCAGACTGGAATTGCTAAGATTGAAAATGCGCCTAAAGAGGCAGGCCATATAAGGAAAATGGGGGAAAGAGTTGGCTATCTTGTGCAATCTACTTTCGGGTAACTTCGGTAACTTTTTTTGAAAAGAGAACTATCTATTTTTGAAATGCCCTGGTCGACTTGTAGTGGTGTTCCTGACAAACTAAGCGAAAAACACGTTCTTTTAAACATAATCCATGGTATTACGTATTCTGAAAGTGTACATATCATTTGAAACTGATAATTTTTTTAGAGTCGTTTCTCAGGTAAAAGCATTTAGCGGAGACGCAACACATGAAACTGGGTACACTTATTCTGAATTGCCTCTGCATGCGGATTTTTCATTCCAAAACACTGCACCTGGAGTAAGTTTGATAAACTCTGACCTTTTAACTGTAGCATTTTAGCTTTTCAGCCCCAAGGCTGTATTAGTGCCCTGTTGTTACACAGTGCAATTTTTCTTTCATGCACTGTTTCTTTATTTTTTTCAGTTCTAACTTGCAATTCTTCTTTTGGGAGATGAAAATTTAGCAACAACGAAATTTGTGTTTTCTTCTAATGTTTTCTTATACATTTATTTCAGAAACTATAATATTCACTAATTTATATCTCTCAAAAGTAGAATTGCATTACAAGTTGCAGGAAAAATTTTATCAGGTACTATACGGCCCTGTAGGTTGCAATACTTCACTGTGTTACGCAAACCAAAGGTGAGGGTGGTGCCAGTTTACTCGTAGACGCTTTCCATGCTGCAAACCTTCTCTACGAGGAAGATCCAGAAGCATTTGAGATCCTAGTGGACACACCACTGGTATTTAAAAACTTCACAAAGACTCCCGCTGGCAAAATCTACGCCGTATCTCGACGTCCTATTCTCAGGCTAGTAAAGTAATATTGAATACTTCGCCTTCGGCTCAGTGAATATAGGCTTGTAATCACCGAGCCTGATGCAACTACTTGTTTTAGTATAAATTTAGAGGCGTTTACAAATAAGAATCAACACAAATTCATAAAAAATTATAATTACTTCAAGCATCAAAAAGCTATAGGCACTGACCAGCCGGCTATCACTTCAGAGACAGTGAATTTTGACCAATTACAATGCAGGAAAATCAATAGTCACCTCGAAATTTATACTAATCATTATTAGACAACTTCTTGCAGGGCCGCCGAGAGGGGCAGGGAGGCATTTTGCCCCAGGCCCCAAACCTGAAGGGGCCCCCGACTTAAGAAAGAACCTAAAATTAAAGCACCTTAAAAAATGTTGGGCTCGGTGTATTATTCGCACACTAGTCGAAAGTACGAGTGACAGTCATTATTTAAATTTCTAAGATGTGTTGATATTGTTTATAAAAAAAAGTTTGTTTGTAAAGCTTTTGCACCACGCTTTGAAGTACTTAATGCCTTGCAGATATTTAAAACCATAGGGCCCCGGGAAAATTTTTTGCCATTTTCCGGCGGACTTGACCATGGTCGAATACGCCATTTTCGGCGGACTCGACCATGGTCGAATACGCTGTTTTCCAGTACACTCGACCATGGTCGAATACGCCGTTTTCGGGCACACTCGACCATGGTAGAATACGCCGTTTTCCGGCGGACTCTACCATGGTCGAATACGCCGTTTTCCAGTACTCGACCATGGTCGAATACGCCGTTTTCCGGTACACTCGACCATGGTCGAATACGCCGTTTTCCGGTACATTCGACCAGGGTCGAATGCGCCGTTTTTGGGTAGACTCGACCATGGTAGAATACGCCATTTTTGGCTGGCTTGACCATGGTCGAATACGCCGTTTTCCGGCGGACTCGACCATGGTCGAATACGCCGTTTTCCGACGAAAAAAGTTTGTTTGTAAAACTTTTGCACAACGCTTTGAAGTACTTTATGCCTCGCAGATATTTAAAACCATGACGTCATAGGGCCGGGCTTGCCCCGGGCCCCACAATTTCTCTGGGCGGCCCTGACTGCTTGCATTAAACGAGCTGACAGAAAACACTCACCCCTCCCCACGCAACCCCACGTAAACCTTGTTCACAAATCTAAAGACAATTTACTATACCTTAAATTGAACGCATGTTTCAAGGCGATATTCAGTAAAGCTTTGTGTGAATTATCAGAGGTTCAAAAAAGCTGCGGGTACGCGGGTGCCACCCGTGAGGAAGGTTTCTCTCAATGTGGTTTGTGAGGAAGTTTCAAAGTTGAACACTCTAATTGATCACATGCATGTACCAAAAAACCAAATATTTCTTATGGTTGCTTCTTGAGTCAGTGACGTAACGTCATTATATATATATAATATATATAATATATATATATATATAATATATATATATAATATAATATATATATATATATATATATATATATATATATATATATATATAATGCTGAATTCTTAGGCACTTTTTCGCTATATATATATATAAAGCCTTTGGATTTGCTGTTGCATTTCACAAGGCATATTCTTTCTTTTTCGATAGTGTGGACTTTGAAAAGAAATTGAATCAGGTGTGTTACGGCGATGAATTTCGCGACAATCACATGCCACGAGAACCCGAGCGTATGAAGTCATTCTATAAAGCTTACTTTCGTTTCTCCGAATTGCTGGACGACAAGAGAACCTCGTTTTGGTATAAAATGAAGTCGGGGGACATCATTACAGTCAACAATCATCGAGTTCTACATGGAAGATCTGCATACCAGCCGGATGGCGAACACGCGAGAATTCTTGAGACCGCGTTTTTTGATTGGGATTGTTTCCACTCTAAAATTCGAATCCTTTCTGAGAAAATTGGAGTAAAATCACCCGTTGACTAGAAATGCAAAAATATATGCTATTATCAATCAGTAAAAAAATAATCATATAATCCAACGAAATGTGCATAAATAAGTTATGCGATCGTTTCTTGCTATATCACATAAAGCACACATTTCAACGTGATGCAGCGATTCTGTTTTAGAGGCTGCATGATTAAATATCATAAATCGTTGTATCCTGAACTGGTTATCGCCTGAAGTCAAAGACAGCAACTAAAGCAAATTGTTTAGAAGGAATTAGATTTTAGTTCATAAAGACAAAAGAACCAAAAAAATAGACAATTTAGAATAATTTAATTATTTTATATTGTGGGGGTTAGTAACTCTTGTAGTTGATAGGATTATCGTATAATGAAGAATAAACGAATTTTTAGATAAAACGGATTAAGATGTTTGGTACAAATTCTGGTGGCATGAAATGGTTTGTTAATGATAGAAATATCGGATAAGGAGAAAGAAGAAACGGTCTTTGGGGGCTGTCGAATGGCGTAAACGAAATCGGACAAGACATTGCTTCAGTAAAGGTGTATCTTTTAACTATGTTTATAAGCGCCCGGTAGTCGCCGATAAACAAAGATTAGCAGATAACACCGACAAAATCGAACTAAATCGGGCGTAAAAACCAAACGTGAAGTCCTCGTACGAAAGCGATCGAAAAATGGAACACATAACCATACCGAAGTTTGACGGCGACAAAACAAAATTTGAATATTTTTGGGCGGCATTTACAACAATTGGTGATGAATCAAGTGAACCGTCGAAGTATAAGATGATTCGAATAAAGTCAAATTTGATTGGCAAGGCGGCTGGATGCATCGAAAAGCTTGGATATTCAAATGAGGCTTATGAAGAAGCGAAGAAGACTTTGCAAAGAAACTTTGGCGGCCAGCGGCTTCAAATTTAAAATTATGGTCTATTACACTATGGTTACACTATGGACTCACACTATGGTCTGCGCGCTATATATTCCAACAAATTTATGATATTCGTAGAGATTGGTAGCGTCGCAAACACGAGAAATGTACTTCATTCAAAAATTCAACTAGGAACTAGGTTATGCTATAAACAGCCTTCGCACAGGACGCTTCATAGAGAATTCCCTAAACAGCCTTGTAGAGAATTCCCGTGGGAACGAGATTGGCAACCCGAACACCGAGATCCTGCTTTCAGGCAGCATTTATACCCATGGGTAACCTAGTGACAAGAATACTACTTCGATTTTGCTATGCGCGTTGCATTGTGATAGTAGCTCTTATACATTCTTTCGCTTGTACCTGCATGCAATGCAGTCATATAATGACGGCATATTTTGAACATAAACGAAACGAAATACTTTTCATCACTTTGGGATTTGCTCTCCGCCTGGGTCATATTTCCTAGGAAATTGGCCCCCTTTTCGGAAATTTGACCCCCTCGAAAGCATATACTTCATCGTTTCGAAAAGAGCTCGAAAATCACGAAGCTTCTTCTAAAAGCAAGATCGTAAAAGTTCGTTTGTACTTCATACTTAGTTTGCATCATTTCTTTGTGTGAAAACTTTTCATCGCGGCGAAGAGCTAATACGTTCAAGGAATGCGTGCTGTGCTATTCTGTGTGCTAATGTTTATACTTTTATTACCGGATTGCTTCCGGAGTGGGTCAAATTTTGTAGCTATTGAAAGGCAGTAAAAAAATTTTGCTGTCAGAGATCGAAATATAACTATTGCCATCTAATAACTATTGGCAACTTTAGCTATAACTATAACTTTAAAGGCAAACAAAGATATCGTGACAAGCGAATCCGGTGACACACACTTTACTACTATATTACTAGAATTACTGATTTGTAAAGGACCTAAAATAATAAATGCTTAGCTTTGAACCAAGGATAGAAAGCGCAAATTGGAATTTCCAAAATATTACCAGTTATTTTTTTAGGCTTATAAATTCAGTGGCATAGTTCAGTATAACAACCATGGATTGTAACATTAGACTCTTGTCGAGATCTTTTATCAAAAAACGACATTAAATAAATCAATCAATCAATAAGTGGTTATTTCCTGACCTTTCCTATGCATTTTACTGATTTTAGCTGCTTACAAAAAAATTCGCTAAATTTCTGGGAAAACATATCTCCTATTGTTGACAGTTCGGAAATTTGATCCCTTGTTCTGGAAAACACTCTCGCAATATATATAACACGGAACTCGCAGAGCTTCTTCAAAACCAAAGTCCTGAAAGGGAGTTGTTGGTATTTATAGTTTGCATCATTTGTATGGAAATTTTTAATCGGGATCAAGAGTTAAAAGCCTGAAGGAACGCGTAAAATGATGTGCTAGTGTGCTACTGAAGTCACGCCAACAACATCACACATTTAAGAAATAGAAAACATTTTCCGTGTTTCTATACAGTTTTAGTATACACCAGACTATTGTCTGTTACAAATCCTACATTCTGATTGGCTACTCAACCATTGTCTATTCGTGATGGTGAACGTTTGGGAAAAATTCGCTCGCGCGACCGTATAAAATTGAATTAAATTATTTTTCGGTGTAATTGCGGTGTATCGATTATTTTCTCGAAAGGGTGTATACTGAAACAATTATACAACTCACCTTCGTTGTCTATGAACGAATAGACTATTCGCTCATAGTCAGCTCGGACTCGTTGTCTAATTGTTAAATAGAAACACGTTTCTCGACCAATCAGCACGCGCGTACTATAAATGTTATGCTATAAAAAATCATAACTCAGGCTTCCTCAGCGTTAAATTACACAAAACGATTTTCACAATTAGGAACTTGTGACTTAAGATTATAAGATATGACCTAAAAAAGACCTAAAAAAATTCAGTAACCTTGGTATAAAACACACTTTAGCAGATTATGACGTATATCATAACATTGGATTTAGTGGAAAGCTTTGATCAAAAAATAATATTAAATCAATAAAGCCGATACAATTCTACCCCAAGTACCCAAGGAACGTGGGTTTTCCTTCTGGAATGTGATCCACTGGGTGACACTTGTTTGGACACTTGTTTCGATTAAGGCATGCATCAACTTGCTCTTGGGGGTTTTGTGTATGGTACCTATATCTGTGGAAATTTCCGAGGAATTATAGCCTGCGGGGCCCAAATTTTCGGGGGACACCCCGTGTGACACCTGCAGGCCAGCAATTGCGTGACGGTCACGCGTTAGTCGCGCGTCAGCTATATTTTACTTATTTTGTGTTGGACCGTGGACGCTGCTGGCGCAAATAATCTACTTCATGTCCTATAAATCGTTGTCTTTGGTGCGCGTGTAAACCAAAGTGAGTTAAATTTATAGTTATATTCAGTTCTTTCGTTAATTTAGAGCACTAAGTTCGTCACCAAGACTTTAATTTCCACAGTACGAACACTAGCCCGTTTAGCTTAAACGGTGGTTAAGTTCAAAATAGAAAGCAAGTCTATGGTTTTATTCAAGAAGCAAACTAAATGTTTTTAACCCTAATACTGAAAAATACTGTTTACAACTACATCAGTTCAGTGCATAATATTCAATATTCAAGTTGACTCATTTAAGATAGATGTAAGAGTGTTATTTAAATTTGACTTATCCGCCGTTTAAACTAAATGGGCTTGTTTGTGTTTGAGTCCATTGATGCCTGAACCACGGGCGCAGCTGGTCAGTTGCGCCCGTTGCCTTTCGTTTTTACAACTTCACGGGTGCACAACTTGGGTGCAATTGCGCTTTTGCAATAACTAAGTACGTTGTAGTGCGCATTATTTGGCCATCTTTGCTCCTTTCGGTCAGTGAACATATGCCCTTTTCATAAGAAACTGCACCCTTTGTCCTGTATAACTTCCGGCATCCCTGCATGTGTTTAAATATGTACCCTGTACAGTTCATCTCCTCGAGTTTTGAATGTAGATATCGATTGTGAGTTTTTGTCAGAGATGTTTGATCCTTTTGGCGATTACGGATGGTTTCACCATGCAATTTAACAGGAATTACATCGTGCGAAAGTAAATTTATGCATTTATCGCCATAGGCAGCCATTAATTTTGTAATATTTAAGACTTATTGACTGATCCCGAGGCCCGAGGGAAGCATCATGTTTCGTAGAGCCTCGACCACCATGTTTACTTCGCCTTCGGCGAACTCGACAAGATCGGTCTTTTCATTTTAAGAATTCCCCAGCTGAGAATTGGACGACTTGCGCTGTAGACTAATTTCTTACGTACTAAAATTAGTGAAACTGCCAAGTTTGGCTGCGAGTTGTTGTAATTAATATTACGGAAAATATAGGCATGCAAAGCCCACGAATTTTGTATACGTAATTTCCGCACGTAATACAAAAGTATACAAAATTTGCCAACTTCGCATGGCTATACTTTCCGTATTTTACAAAATTTTGCAACCAAACTTTGCATTTGCACTAATTTAAGTAAGATCTTTCTAGCTGCGATGATTTATTTTCATCTAGTTACTTCGATCAAAAATTTGTCTAAAGCGCGAGTCGTCCATTCAAAGTTCATAATTCGCGTGATGGGACGTGGCATCACGACTTCCGGTTTTATTAACTCCCGTGGCGGAGCCAGTTGTATCTAGCTTCCTCCGCAGGCATATCTTATGTATTAAATTACATTAGGTTATTACTCCGGCGTCAGCGACGGAGTTGAAAATTCGCCTTGGTTTTGTTTTGTTTTTTTTGTTTTTTTATTTTTCGTCGTCGCAAGTCTGTAATGGCGCGAAATATACTAGTATTTAAAATGTGTATGTGACCGTATTCATCTACGTCCCAGTCTTATCTCCCAAGAGTTGTGGTGCACAGCTTTGGCTAATTTTCCAATGCGCGATTCGATTTCGCTCGCATGATACGGCAATTCCTGCAAGAGGAACAAATAAACCGTTCTTTTCATGCTGTTCGATTAGGTTTAGATTATGTATGCGAAACAATACGCGAACTGTATTGTTTATGTTCAGAAGCTCTAAATTGAAGACTGGCATGTGCGCCGGAGTTAACGCCAGAACGGCGTCTTGTTAGGCATGGGTTAACAGTGTCATGGAAGGCGTGGAAAGGTTGTATCAAGCCCGTTTAGCTTAAACGGTGGATAAGGTCAAAATAGAAAGCAAGTCTTTGCGGTAAACAATCGTCTTCCTAACGAAGGCCCTCCAGTCGAAACGTCGAGAAGTGTTTTTATCTATTTTGGTAGTTGTTATACCACATTTGATGATAGTTAAATATATTAACTTTTTTGCATACAACTACAAAGTCATGCAAAAATTATACAATGCTCTGCCATTAAATTTAAGATTAGTGGGAACTCTGAAAAAATTTAGGAAAGGCTTGAAGGAACATTTCAACTCTATCAATGAAATTTGTTATATTGTACTA